AACATTCCAAATAATTGTCCTATTTGCAAAATATGTTTAAACAATTTGCTGAGCATTCCAATCAGGTAAATTATTAAAAATGTTTTCATTTTTCACATTCAAGTATTTTTAATGACTATTAAATATAAATTTATAAATTTCAAATCTGCTTAAGCTTGACCAAGTCTTGTTATGTAGTGTAATTTTATGAGGACCTAACCCTCAATATCCTCTTATAAACTTATAAGTATAATATTAAGTTAGTTATAATGATTTTTGAACTGAATAATAATTCTAGGAAAAATATGGATGCACTGTTTAAAATACAAATTTAGGTTTTAAATTAAATCTTGGGCTTAAATGTACTAGAGTTGAACTTTTGTTTTAAGAGTTATACATTTGTAATATGACAGAATATAATAAAACAAAATCTTATAAAAATAATTACAAAACTTACGTTACATTGGTACCTATAATTAGTATAATATAAATGATAAAAATAATGTTTAAAATGTTAGATGGAGAGCAATCAATAGGTTTTATAATTTGCCTTACACTTTATTAATTAAATTTGTATATGTTCACTCAAAATCTGTGATAATTCTTAATTAGAGTTCTCTTTTAAGCATTTTTAATTTTAAACTATTCAGTTTAAAATAATATGATTGTACACTATACAGTATTTATAAATATTGATATCGAGCCATTAAATGTATTAACTAATGGAACAAATATTTCCTCTTCACTGAATTGATCAGTCCTATGAAAAATGATTGATTAAAGAATATTAGAGATGATGTAAACAAAAAGAATTTTCAAAATGTATCTGTTTTAATGAGTGCTTATATTAGTGAAAAAATCTGAGACCAGACAACAGAAATAAATCACAAAATATTCTTAAACTAACAACTGAAATATCTTCTTAAAAAAAATAATAACACACATTTTAAGTATAAATAACACTTTTTTAATAATGAATAATGATCAGTCCCACATTTTGCTTTCTTGACAACGTTACTACAGACTACATTTTCTTCATCTTCATCTGAAGAACTAGAAAGTATATTTTGGTCTTCTTCAGAATCATCCACTGAGTAATCTGAAGATATACCACGGCTTGTACTAGGCTGATTCATTGGTTTGAGTTTGTCAGGAATGTCTTCATTAGTAGATGTTACACTTCTGCCAGGTATGACATCAATTTTCTTTTTTCTCGTTTTCCTTTCTGTCCTTTCTGTTTCTTTCATTCTATTATCATAGAGGAATTCTTCAAATGACTGGACCCAACTTGCTTCTGAATTATTTATAGAAGTATCAGTTACTATTGGGAAATCTGGCAATTTCTGAAGAACTTTACAAATTCTCCACATGAATCTTTCTCCATGACAGCCACTAGTTCAGTAACTACTGAATCGTTTGTGAAACCTAATGTTTGTAAAAATGTGGTCTTACACACTAATACTTCAAATTTGAACTCTGGATGGCTAAGGGTATAAATTCTGCTTTTGTTTTTCCTAAAACCATCATTAATATCAGCAACCACCTTCCTTCGTTTGATATTGGCTATATTTACACATTTAGACATATATTTTCGATGTTCTGTATAATTTAGTTTCCAAAAGTCCAACCAAATAGTAGTTTGATGTTCATAGGTTAACAAATTGCATAGCTTTTTATGTTTACCAATGCAAGTTATTTGAATAATATGATGTTTATCTTTTTGTTTTTTGGTATTAATTTCTTTGAGTATCTTATTTCGGTCATGTTTTTCAGAGTTTGTCATTTTGCGCTTTTTTACTCTTGTATTTCCCTCTGCTTCATCAACTACATCTTGATCAACTACATCCTGATCAACTACATCTTGGACAAGTACATCTTGTTTGTCATTTAAGCAATCTGGAGTGTCAATAATGTCTGCAAGTGTAATATCCTATATTTAGTTTAAAATACATTTATATTAAATATTAAGTTTTATTTACCTTTATAAGGAACCTCTGAAGTTTGAACAGGAGGTTCATAATCGGGGTCCTTGTCCTAATCATCATAATCATCATAGTATAGGTCTTCTTCTTCATCATCCAAATTTTCAAACAATTTGTTTGTGTCAAATGATGTTGGTTTTGAATCATCTATATCAATTAAAATTATATTTGTACACATAACATTTTTAACTAAATAAAAAATAATAATATAATTATTACTTACCTAAATTAGTAATAGCAGACGTCAAATCTTTAATATCATGACCTGGTTTTGACATGAACGAATAAGTATGGTCTGCCATGACATTTACTAATTATAATTGTTTAAACAATAAAACAAAAACTGCCAACAACAATATGTATACAAAATATGTAGCTACTAGCCTGCTGCTAGTATTAACATTATATTAAGCATTGGCTGATCGCTGATGTGCAGTAAGTTGTATGTTGTTACTAATACAGTCTGAGTTATTATTTTAGGCTAAATATAAAACAATATAATTAAATATTTTAAAATCAATTAACAGTTATGAAACACAGTATGTAACAGTTAAAAGTATATACTGTGTTATATAATCTGCAAGATAATGCAAGAAAATCAGTTAACAATGATAAAACACAGCAAGTACACTAAACCTACCTACTGTGTTTTATAATTTGTTTCTTGATAAACGTATAAAAAAAAGTGGATATACTTGATTTTATCTCATTGATTAACAGGAATTTAGTAACTATTGTGGGCTCAATAAATGCACAGTGCCGGCGCTAGGGGAGGACAAATGGGACATTTGTCCAGGGCCCCGCGCTTGTTAAAGGGCCCCGCGATTTTTAATTATCATCTTAATACGAATACCGTGGTCTACCGTCGTATATTGCATTATTCTGCCTGTAGCGGTCGCGTACTTAGATATTAAACAATTTATTATTTTATTCAAACATTTTGATGAATTAATTTATTTTTAATTTATGATTTTATATGTAGTTGTTAAAATAAATGTTAATTAATAAAATAACCAGCCCTTATGAATTTATTAGCCTACGATTTTCCACTCAAAGGTTTAACTGAAACTCACGCTACGCCATTAATTCTGTGCTGAGCGAGGTTTCATCAGGAGGAATCGCACTCGAATGTGTTGTCTCCGTTTACACAAGTAGGTAAGGTAAAGTGGGGTAAGTGTGACGCAAAAATGAAAAGTTAATTTTGAATTTGACAATACTTTTTTTGTTTTTAACTTAAAGTTGTTATTGTTCCATAATGTAACACCTCTAGATATACATAATTGGAATTTATAGTCAACAAAGTTATATTATCACTCACCTAAAAATAATTTTTTTTTTTTTTAAATTTTAAAACGTCACACTTGACGTGATATATATATCTTATTTACCTATATTATATATAAAAACAGTACTTTGTTTAAAATCCTGATTTAAAAAAAGCTAAAATTTCACTACTCTCTGAGAACCTAAAGGCTATAAAATTTCATAGTAGGAAAACCAATAAAACGCAAATTGATAAGAGTGTCACTATTACTGTGTTTTAGCCTTTAGGAATAGACAGCCGATATGTCCCATGTTACGGTAGGCTTTTCCATGATTCCCAAAATTTTGCTACATCTTTTAAAATTATTTCAAACGGATCACTATTATTTAGTTTTGATAGTAACATAAATTCCGCCATATATGAGTCTAAAAAATGTCTATCTGTTCTTAGTGTACTTATTATTTATATAAATATTTTCTATCCTCACTCCATTTAATAGAGTATTAACATAATAACATTTAACATAAATATGTTTATGGGATAGATACACATACAATTATTTCTGACCAATTTTTCGTAAAGTTTTAGTTGTCATGGTTTGTCTTAATAAGCATTAAGAGGACATTGTGAAAAAAAATATTATATTATATTAAATTTTATTTTTGTATAACAAAAGCATTATGATTCGTGATTTTTCTTGTTGAAGAAAAATATCAAGTAGCGTGCTATGGTTTTTTTTTTATTTGTCATAATTTTATTACAAAATATGGTTTTTAAAAGAATGAAGTTTATAAGATTCTACAGTAGGTACCTAGTAGTGTACAGTCTTATGTTAAATTTAAAATTTAAAATTACTAAAATAATCTTAATATGTAATCTTTAGTAGTTTAGTCTATTTTACAAATCTGTGTCAATGAGAAACAATTTTCTAGCACAAGTTTAAAATAAATACTTTTTAAAATATATACATTTTTTATTTTAAGAGTTCCTTATCCTTTTGTAAGAGCATCTCAGCAATCATGCTCTGTTATTGTGAAACCAACTCAAGGGGATTTTTTAAAGTGAGTTTACTTAATATTATAGTTATTTAATTTATTAAGAATAATTTAATTTGACATATTCTGATATTCTTAATTCAAAAAAATTCTATCTTACAATTTTACTAGTAATTACCAACTAATGGATGATTTACATATCGGAGTGACAACATCAAGAGGTACTGTTATATCATATGATTGGAATGGAGTCAGTGAGGATACAGACGATTGGCAAGAATGTTTAGTTGTGTTTCAATTAAATGACCATTGTATGGAAACACATTGGGATACTATATTAACAAATATAGTCAAAAATGAGTTTTGGGACAGTGCTAGGTTTGTTGAATTAAGGTGACAAATAAATTAAATGATTGTAAGTTAAAATCAAGTACATTGTCTGGGAGCCCTTTCCCATGCGGTCTAACAGTTTTAATACATAAACACGATAAAAAATTAAGTAGTAGAGTTAAATTTGCACAGTAGGTAAGTAAAATGTTTAGCAATAATATTTGTAGACAATATAATTAAATGTTGGAGCTGGTTACATTTTTTTAATATAGTAAATGTTACAATTAAAGTGAATTTGTTAATGCGATTAATCTGTTATTTTTTCTTATTAAGAGAACGCTATACAAGCATTTGTATTTCTCCGTTCTACAAATGCTTAGGTAACTGTAAATGTACGCTCAGCTGATTATGTTTAGTTTTATTGGTTTAAACATTCGAGTGAATCAGCTGATTATGAAGCTTAATAGTAAGAACATTATCATAAATAACATATTATGTTTTGTATGTGGAGCATAAATTAAAAATTCACATAACTCACTTAAAAACTGAATTGTTGTAAAAAACCCACATACAAACACAAATAAAGTTCTTAATAAAGTTACCGTTAATTAATACATTTTAATAATTGGTCGATTCACTCTAATTTTTAGTCTAAAACTACCTAATTGTAGATAATACTGAGTGTAAATGTATTATGTTTGGTAATATTTGGTGGTCTTATGTTTACCATTGTACCAGGAAGTTATTTTAATTATAAAAAAAAAAAATCAATCACCGAACTTACAAAGAAAATTTACTATTTATATAAATATACAAGTAAAAGGATCTAGTTAGCTAAAATAATTTAAAAATATAAAAATAGGCTTTCAATTAGCCTAACTTATTAACCTAGCTATTATTATTTGGTGTCTATCGGACAAAGACATAAAGTGGTTAAATTGAAAAGATTGTGAAGCATAGAAAAAAGATTTGAAATTAGGGAAACCCATTTTACAATTTTTGGTGGTATTTTGAATTTGATATGAAAAGTAGTAGGGAAGGTAACTTTGAACATTATTACTTCCACTCAATAAAACTGTTTTTTTTCGAAAGATTGTTGCTATTTCAAAATAGATAATATTTAAATAATTTTGCAAATTATTATGACGTACTTAAAAATGCACAACATTTTGAAGGAAATATTCTATGCTTGACAATTGAATACAAGAATCCTAAAAATTTGTTTTTACTAAAATTAATTTAAGCGTACCTACATTTTTTGAGCGTTTGAAAATTAAATTTTGACATCATTAGGTAGGTAGGTATTTAACGAAAAAATGAAATTTTTATCAAATTATCATCAAATGTATTATACCTATTAGTTGATTTGTTGTGGTTCTAATAACATTCAGACTTCAGACGTTCTATGAAATTGGGTGGAATTTCACAAAACTTTATTTTTAATTCCCACTAAAAACAACTTATGAAGAATTTTCTTTAAACCATAACATTTTAAAATTTGTTTTGAGCTGTTTACGGACATTTTCAGTTTCCAATTTTAGATTCTGAGTGGAACGATGAATGTATTCATTTTACAATGTGTTTTTTTTGTGTTCTATCACAACCGTTTGGGGCAGTAAAACTGCTTCGATTTTCTTCTACAGTATCTTTTCTGATAGGATAGTGAATCTAGTTGGTACTCTGGGGGTCAATAGTAAAAATTTTCAAAAGCGCCGGGAAAAACAAATTAAAAATTAAGGAAAAACGGGAACTTTTACGCAAAATTGGTTTTCGACAAGATCGATCTTGGTTTTTGGTGTAATTTTAAAACAAATTACCGTATATACATGAAATGTTCACTGGTTGTTTATGTTTATATTATCTATACATTGTAAAATTTAAAAAAAATTTTGAATTGAAAGTTTAAACTGTTTACGGATATTTTCGATTTCCAATTCTATTCGTTTTTTTTCGATGGATGTCAATAAAATTGTATTTGTTGGGTCAAAAAGCTTGAAAATGTAATACAAGGCTCCTAATATATTGTTAAAATGGCAGTTAAAAATTATTAAATATACATAGTCACAATTTTTTTTATAAGCATTTAAAGTTCGAATTTTGACAAAATACATAAAATTCACGAACATGTCCAAATTATGTTTGGTTAAAAATTTATATAAAAAGGTAATACAAGATTCCTCGTACGTTTGTCTATCTTTATCAAACAAAAAATATCTACCTGAAAGTCAAATTAGATTTTTATGAGCGTTTGATGTTCAAATTTTTACAATATTGGGTATTCACTCGATTTGTCATGTAGCGATTTTCTTATTTTGTTGTAATTCAAAAACAAATAACCGTAGCTACTTGAAATCAATACCATATATTTATTTTATAATTTTCTATACTTGATAAAATTTTCAAAATATTTTGACTTATATCGAGTTGTTAACGGACATTTTCAAATTTCAATTTTTTAGTTTTGTTTTCTGTAAATGTGACACGCATTTGACATTTTTTTGTCAAAAAGCAACAAAAAATATTTTCAATTTCTATAAATAACGCTTTTGTTGAACCCGTGTAGTTTTCTTTGATAGGCAATTTGTGGTGTGATGAAAAAAAAAATTTCACGGTTTTTTCCAAACACTTTAAAATGTTAATCTACTGAATGCACCATTTAGATTCACTTTCCCACCAGAAAAGAAACTGAAGTGTAAATCGAAGTAATTTTTCAACTACTTATCGTGTACTCCTACTAGATCTACAAAAAAAACTCACACAACATTGTAAATTCAATGCATAGATTAATATTCTTATCTTAAAATATGGTAATAATATTCACTCTATAATATTCTAAATAACCGATTAAAACGGATTCTTTTTATCATAAAATGTAGTTATTGTTTGCGTTAGTACAACTTCCCCTAACCGTAATAAGAGCTAAAAAACTTAGGAATATTTGCATGTGAGTTATAGGTAATTAATAATCACACTTTTATAGTGGTTCGAACTGGCGGTGAGAGGGGATATACCTATTTTATAATACAATTTGATTTTAAATACTACCTTTGATGTTCCAACATTAATCGACACGTTTTTTATTTTTTTTTTTTTAAAATAGGTATTTTATTGATTTTTATTTTATCTTATGCTAATTTCAATTTTCCATATCATAAACAAAATTATAAATACTTATTAATAAAAACGAAGGGTGTTTGATGCATTTTTTTTCATATAATACTTATTTCATGATTTACACCTTAAAGTGGTCTTGTTTTTTTACCTAATAGATACAATGAAGAGGATCACAATTGTTTTTCGTTCATAATGGCTTTCATAAAACAGTTCAACGTCTTCAAATCACCGGTACATCCTGTTGAAACTAGAGAAGACTTTGCTGAATTGTACGTAGCTCCAACCACGTTAAAAGCTTATAAATACATTTATCTATACAGAAAAATAACTGAAACTGGTTTCTATATTTACAGCCAACCTTCGAATGAAATCTTATGTACATAATACAATTATTAAGTATTATAATTATTATACATATTAGATCAAGTTTTTCTATTTAATGCATCATATTCATATATTATTTATCAAAGTGGCTTAAAAATAATCGGATAACAGATATATTTTATTAAAATATCACTCGACGCCCGACGGTATAAGTTATAAAAATCCTGAGTGCAAACGATTTTTAAGGAGCTCAATATAGGCAATTTTGTTCAAATTGTAAGAGATTATGCGGTATAGACATAGGTATTGTTAACAACGGTTGCGTTATCACAATATTTGTCAAAAACGAGTAAATTTGTTATAAATTTTAATTTTATATTCTGAGCACTGAGTGTAGTGAAAAATGTTTTGTCATTGACATTTGTCAGTGTCAGTGTGTCTCTGATATTTTAACGCGTTTACTCACATGATTCAAGCGGAGAGCAGAGACACCCAAGAGTTTTCATTTCAAAAACTAATAAATATATAAATAAAAATATTATATACATTCATTGTGCCTATAAATAGCAAAAAAAAGTCTCAATATTTTGAAAATGTGGTACACAGAAATCCCTAGTATAAACATTCAGTGAAAAATTCGTCTATATTCTGTAAAAATTTCAGTTTTTCCTTAATTTTTGTTTGGTTTTGTGGTACCTTTATAGAACATTTATAGAACCTTTATAGAAGTGTGCGTGGTGCCCAAAGTTATGTAAGACTTAATAGTATATCTCCAAGTAAAACAAAAAATAAAAATGACAGTATTAGAGAGCGTTATAAATAGTTGTAATAATGAATTAATATCAGACTTAGAATATCTAAAAACTGTATCGCATCATGTTAGTTCACAGTTAATGTAGTCATTTTATATTTTTAACTAACTTTTTTTATTTTATATTTTTTAACGTTGAAGATAATTAATTATTATTATATAAATTATGATTTTTTTTTATCATATAGTATATAATATATATTTTTTTTTATTGATTAACCCTCGGAAACTTAGGCCATTCGGTGGTTATTAAACTATAGGTTTGGTAAACACGTGTGTTTTAGTTTTGGCAGAATTTCATATTGGACACCCGTAGGTTTATGTCATGCCCGGTCAGGGCATCTCTCTAGACAGTGGCTTGCCCATGCCACCCGTGGTCGAGATTCGAACCGGCGACTTATTCTGTATGCGAGTTTGTTATGTTGCATACTTGCATGCATGTTAGACATATAGAGGAAACAAATACTCTTGTATGCTATTTGGCTATATAGCTAATGAAAATAATACCATTCATGTATATTATACCTACGTAATAATTAATATATGATATTATTTTAAATATAAATACCATAGTACGACTGTTGTGTATTTGTGATCTTATACTCTAACAGCTGTAGCAATTGAAATGGAATTCCAAAAGGTAAGTATTTTTACTAAAATGTGCCGGTGCTGATCAATATTCCTTTTTCCGGGTTTTAATTTTCATATAGTATAAATACTATACCTACTTTTGTTATCAACATTTAAAAAAATTAAGCACTCCTATAATAATACATGAAACTTGATTCATAACTCTTTAATCATCACATTGCACATTTAGTCTGAAACAAAAATAGTATAAACATAGTAGTATATTAAGATTTCTAAGAAACTACATTTTAGACAAATATGTATTTTTAAACATACTTTTTTACCTATAAATATATAAGTATAATATGTAATAGGTATACTAACCTAATTTAATGGGAATTCTATAAAATATTAATTTTTTATTAAGGCACATTAATAAAATAAATCATAGTATTATCAAAATAGCAAAATAGCAAATTCCAAAAACTAACTAGCAAAATCTAGCAAATCACAAGCAATATTTTGATAGGTACCACTTTCGAGCCGGTCGAAAAATGTGTCAAGGTGGCACCGGAATATTTGAATTTAGATTTACACTTTAATGAGATACTAGGAAATTCTGAAAACAACCTAGCAAAATCTAGCAATTTTTTGGTATTACAAAATATATAGTCCTAACTCCTAACATATTGTGCCGGTGCCAAATTGACGCCAGAAAATAATTTGCAAATTTTCATGGTTTTTACGTATTTCTTTAAGATTTGACGTACATTTTGGTAGTTATTTGGTTGAGTTTATGTGGCATCAAGCTCTTCAAACGGATGATATTCTTTCGTCGAAATACTAACCAACATATCACAACATTTTCCACCTCATTTGAATTATTAATTTTATCAATTAGCTAACCAATGAGTACCGGTTTGATTAATGCTTCATAGAGTATAACATTATTTTATGAGTAAATAATAAAAATAATAGGTACATGAATTTCCCCCCCTAATTATCTAGCGATACTAGAATATTAATAGCGGTTGAGATTTTTTTTTAAAGGGACTATGGTCTACGATAGTTGCTTGCTTTAGTTTACCATCAACTAATAAGAAATGTATGCTGATATAATGTTATTTCTGTTATATCTGGGCCTTTATTACTTATAATCGCCGAGGCCGATTTTTAGGCCAGTCTGCCTCAGATTATAAATACAAAGTATATAAAGTAGTTATTTATTACGTATCAAAACGAATATTATTCAGAAACTTATATACAATATATTATTTTAAATTGTGTAGCTCATAAGTTTCACAACTATATGCCATCACAGCTAAATGGATCACCACGGGGGTGCCAGACTGCCCCTCTACCCCACTTGAATCCGCCACTGAACGCGGTCTGCAATAAGTTTTGGTTTAATGCTTTGTATTGAACAATATAGAATAAAAACGTATGGTCTATTTTTATGTGACACTCTCTTTTATTTTACACTTATAGTCATAGAAAAACCCGAATACTCCGGTCCCCAGTGGATACTAAATTATGGTTGAAATATTGAGTTAATGAAAAATAGTGAAAGAATGGCGTTCCAAGTACTTCAACCCACTAATCATATAATATAAATATTATATATAGTATAGTATATTATCCTATTTTGTGCCCTTAGGTCATTGTCCATCGACGGATAGACACCTACGTCTATGCAGTGGCGTCATTTCATTTTATAATAGGAGGGACAAAAGTTTTGACCAGTTCATATAGCTGAACCAAAAAAAAAAACAGATTTCTATTTTCTCACAAGCTAATTTCTACTTAGATTTTTTTTGCTTGGTAAATTTCTCATCTTACAGAATTTTATATGTGTTTGAGGCAAAAAAATCATAATTTTATAGCAAAAACGACCCGGAGATCTAAATAATTATGGTGCCCTAATTTTATATTTTTTTTGAGGGGCTGAACAAATTAAATTATAATATTATGAAACACAATTAATAAAACGTAATTGAAAAATCGAAAATGTCTAAATAGGTAGGTAACTTCTATTATAAAAGTTTTTTCGAAATCATGGATAAATTTAAGTGTGTTAATTTTTTTTTAGAATTTATACAGTATTAGTGTCTATATATTTGAACTAAAAAACTATAAATATTAATTATTATCGTGACAATAGTTTTCTAGTGCTTACACAATATAATATTTCTTCAAAATTGGAAAAACTATAGTCACGTTGTTTCACCTACAAACGACCCAACAATTGGACTGATTTTACAATGCTCACCTTGCTCCTCTCAAATGACGCCACTGCGTCTATGTAAGGTTTAATATTATAATTATTTTTGTGTTGTAGTAGGTAAAGGTGCAATAATATAATAGATAGTAGGTAATAAAAAAAAGTGATTAATTAAAAACTTCAAGTTGATTTTTTTTTTCTCACGATTATACACTAGTAATTAATTAATAGAGAACTTTGTCAAAAGTGTAATCATAACATTATTATCATAATTATGACATTTTAATCTAGTAATTTGTGTACATGTTTTATAGATACACGTATGTAAATATAGGTAGTATATATATATATATATATATAAATTGTACAACAGAATTTTTTTTCAAACATTTCGTTTACAGTAAGTCGTGTTAAAAAAAAATAAAAAAAAATAAAAAAAAATATTTAGGTAGGTAATATTAATAATAATGAGAAGTGCGCGGGGCGATGTTGCGGGGATGATGACTGCAGTGCGAGGGGGTGTAGGGATTGAGGGTTAATGGATCTTCCACGTTGCCCTCGTCATCAAGCTTTGGGTTTTTCCGTGGACGTGGTGGTGGTGCTGTCGGCGCCGCCATCGGATGATTCTGAGTTCTCGACCACCGTAACCTCTGGATATTCGAGCTTAACGCCGGGCTCGCAGTCGAACACGGGACAACAGTCCGGGAAACCAGCTGTCTTGTTGGTCTTTTCGGACAGCTTGCACTTGGGGTTGGACTTGGGGTATGGACCACAGTCCTCGACCAGCTCCAGAAGTCGGTCAGTGCCTTCGCCTTGCACGCAAGTAGAACGTCCGCAGAACGGCGATAGCTCCCATGTGTGTCCTGGCTCCACGGTGGCGCATTTGGTCGAGGCGAAACATAATCCGGGGAAATCTGTGAGGGCAGATACAAGTTGTTGTCACATTATTATATCATTGTATAGGTATATTTTAAATGTTTCAATTTCAATGTCCAATATTGTAGTTGTCAGTCTGCCTTAACTTCGTTTTTTTATTCCCATGAAAGTGTTTAATAAAAATAAAAATGCCAATCTGTGTAACAGTGATTACTATATATTTTGCACTTTATGTAGATAATATTTTGTAAGATAAATGCAAGAAATTAAATTATAATTTCAAATAAAAAAACTTAATGTCCTAACTGTTTTGGTCCATGCAACAACGGATAGATTTAAATGGTTCAATGGTATTTAATAAGAACTTAGAAGTACCTATCTAACATTTCGAGTAGGTAGTAACTATATATTACGGTAGCACTGTTGCAGTAATGATCATTATTAACTAGGTACAGGCTGATAAACTAATTGTATGATTTATCCTTATAATTTTATTCTGTTCATTTTATTAGTACTACTCTTATAGTTTTATATCAGGTTAGAACGTGTCTTTAATAAGCCACAGTTAAAAACAACAATGTTCTTGAGATTTCTATTTTGATTTGCGAATAATCGAATCCGTATCAAAATAGGATTTGCTGTTAATGGAAAGCGGTCACACTTCCTCGGCTGAATTAAGGCCGTAAGGTATTGTTTTATGGACAACGAACCTTCGCGTTTATCTAACTGTGTATATCTACTAAGCCGGCAACATTTTAGTGACAACCAAACATGGAGAAATAGGTACTACGGTGACGTGGTGTGCAAACGTAGATTGCACGAAAATGGCAAAAAAAAATTAGTAGCTATGCGTGGGACAAGGTTAAACGATCAATATGATAACATTATAAGGTAGTGAATTTAGACAATAAATTTGCAGTCTAGTAATTATTAAATTCATCTCGAATAAATTACTCTAAATTAATACTTCATTCCATACAAATGTGCTTGATATTTCATAAAGTCATCTATTATACGTTATTACGTTAAGGTTAAACGCAATATATTCGACTGATTTAAAATATTTTAACAAACCTCTTAGGACATCGGCCGGTATTAGCCTGCGGTAAATTCTAATCGATCCTTCGGCTTCCGGTGCGGGTGTCGATGATTTTTCGTCAGCAGAGAGTACAATCGCAGCCACTCCCAACACCACTGCCAAAACGCTCAGTCTGTAATCCATTTTGTTTTGATGGGTAATACTGAAAATAAAATAATATTTATTATTTCCACATTTTTTTTCTCAATATATTATCTAGTGACAATAATTCTAGAATAATTGTTTTCAATTACGTATCAGAGATAAGATGTCTGCTAACACAAAATATTAAATGTAACATGTTTGTTAAATGTTATGTACTATTATTAAATTTGCAGTAAATTAGTAAAATAGGTACATAAACGTTGACATTTTATAATACCGAAATTATTAACTGATTACGGGTGGTGTAAAAATAGTAAATACTTTAACTCTAGGTAATTATTAATATACGCGTGGCGCATACACATACTACATGAGAAGTACCTACACGGCAGCCAATATTCGTGTTGTAGATATTTGAAATTGAATTTAAGTTATTGAGAGAAAATCTAATAGTGACACCAATTATGTGTCATGAACATGACTTGAATTAAATTGGTAGCTAGTGGAATAGCGTAGGTAGTTTATATACCTATACAAAATGGCCTTATTCAAATATTCAATTAAACGGGTGTTACGAATAGAAATCTAAAATCGTGAATGGAAATTACGATGGATATGAATATTGAATAGGTAACAATAAATGTTTGTTATCGAACAAATGTTTCCAACCAATACTGTTTAAACTTTAAATGAACAATAAACATCAACTATAGGCACTTATTTTAGTTATTTCTTGTCATTCGTCCATGGCTGTCCTGTCCTGCACTACCGTATTAGGTTATTCGTTGGGGCCATCAAATTATATATGGCAGGCTTCGTTAACACAATAATTATTCATTTGCAGTCTGCACTCGGCAGATAGTAAATACTGATTTATTTTATCAATAAGTAATCAAGGCTTTGAAATTAAAAGAAAAATCATCTTATTTAAGTAGTTAATGTTGGAAAAAATAAGCAATTTAGAAGTTCAAAGTTTTGTTTTACATTTAAATTGTATTAGAATATAGTTGAACTTTTTCATATTATAGGTTATAGGTACAAATAAATATCAAAAATATTTATAAGCTTTAATCGTTTTAAATATTTATAATCATGGCGATGGCTGCCAAAGCCAATGAACCAAACATATTCAACCACAACATATTCAACTACCTATACAAGACAAATAGTTAAGTAGGTAATACTATTTTTTGAAACTCCGTGCAATGATATTTTATTCAACTCAAATAATATATACCTAGGTAAAAGACTTTTTTACTCAAGTAACTGTCGTGTTCAAAAACAACTCGTTAAGTCTACATTGCAGTAAAAAGTAATTTGTTAAGTTAAAAGTTGTACGAGAAGCAAAAACTTTTAACATTTAAACTAGTTAATCCAGCCTCGAATTTAATGATTAACAATAATATATTACTGCAGTGGCCAGTGACATAATATAATGATTTAATTTGTATGTTTGAGTTCGAACACGATAGTAATAATAATTAAAAGTTCAAAACCAACAATACAATTTAAGTATAGGAAGTCCTAATATTATATGTCATATTTGATCACTGTTTATTATTTCCCTATTAAGTAATAATTTCGTTAAGTCGGTGGCAAATTCGGGTCGTTAAGAATCAATAAGTTGTTTACCCCAACATAATCGATTAATCTATACCAATACGACACGTTCGTTTTCGGGTGTAACAGTTGCTCCGGGTAGAACATTTCTGACTATGCATAAAAGGCAATATTTGGCAAGATGAGGAAATCGAAAGAACGCGTTAGAATGTAAAACTTATTAGGACCAACTACGCTCATTGTATAGGTAGTAGGTAAATTTATTTATATGCGTATTGTGTATTCGTAGTATTTTATATTAGCTATTCTGTAAGATTATATGTTATTAAATATGTGCGCACAAGTGTCCTCCGCCGATTCGCGGAATATAATATACAGCGTCAATATTATGTATAATATATTTTGCAGTAATAAACAACTACTTTCCCGTCATTAATATTTATGTATTATTACTATCACTCAGGTAAGAATACAGTGAAAGGTTATAACAATATACGTATGCTGTTTAGGTATAATATTATTATTTCACGTGTGTACACGTCTGAGTCATTGCGCCCGTAAAATACGGTTAACCTTCTTCGATCTATGTTTATTTAGGTACTAATCTATATGCAATAATGTCTCGCTCTTGATCGATATCTGTTCAAAAATGGTGGCCCGAAAATTATCGTTGGTTCAGTGAGTTGTTGTATTTTACATATATGTATAATATATCAGGGTATTGGGTTCTAATCGTTTATGAAAACAAATGGAGCACGTGTCCATTTAAAGTTCAAAGATTAAATGTTAAAAAAAAAAAAACCATCTACTAATCGTCAATACTAGCTCACTTCTGAGTAGATATCTATTTATTATATTATAGTGTACTTGGCCCTGGGTAATACTAATCAATCTGTTATAACAGTACATTTAACTCGATTTACCAAAACCGATCGGTTTAATATTATAATATTTATACCATATATGTATATATATATATATATATGCAGGTCTGCGCGTGTGAGCCTTTACACATATATATCTAATAATATATTCGAATGCGTGTGTGCACAACGCTTTCACTTCCAGGAGATAAAATCAAATCACGTCCACTTTCAAGGACCAACTGTATATTATGCAACTTCCTTCAAGGTTTCAGTTTCACATTTAAATTAGTGAAATTATCGTCTGTTTCGAACTCGCTCGCTCGCGTTGCCGTATTTCTGCGGTTCACTGATCGTCCTCTCCTTCTTCTGCAACGAGTTGTAGACAAATTGATTTTTTTCCCCTATTGGTAGGTATAACCCGCGTTTACTGCCATGTTTTTAACATCTCCGACATTACGAAATCGACTTGAACAAAATCGGTTTCCGCCCGACCATGTATAATACACCTACCGTTCTGGTTTCACACTCGTTTCGGTACGGCTAACTGATGTTATTAACTATATAATAACAGGTATACGACATTGTTTGCGTACGACTCTTGATAAACGTTTATGGGTAGGTGGGCGGTAGTCAGGCCGGTACTACTGTTTTTCCCGTAGGTATGATCTTAGATTGCAGTTTGCTGCAGAGAGGGTCTTACTGAACTTCAATCCACTCTGAGTGTATTTCTGGCTATAGTACCTATATATATATATATTATATAATATGATTACATTGACTCTGTAGCCTCTCTTGTATAAATAGGTATACAGGGCGGGTCACCGAGTTTTCCTATTTTTCCATATAGCTAACACAGTAAACCTCGTGCAGTATATTGTTCTAAAATATCAGTGCTAGAGAGCCAGATAGACTCTACAACATTTATTATTTGAGCCACCTGTTTGAAATATATTGTCGTCGCAAACAATCTCGACTTCATTCAGCTTTATTGCTTGTTATAATATAATATTATATTGCATAGTGACTAGGCTAGGCTTGAAGTATAAATAATAATATTATAGTTCATTGGATCGATGAATCAATTTGGCCGGGCCCTTTCTATGTTCTCAAGTGGAACTTCTACAGTTGTCTAAAATGATTGTCTCTCAATATCGTACCTACATATGCGCTAGAGCCTAGATTAGGAAGGTCGAGTCGGCGATAGGGACGAACGTGCCCAGGAATGGAACGACTTATGTATTGAATATTCCCTAATAAATAATAATTATTGGTTTTAAAACGTATCCTTCCTCAAAAATCTTCAGAGCTTATCGACATGGACATCCAGGAAGTAGGGAAAATTCTGTAAAACAAGCATATTGCATGAATACCTAACCTAACCTATAAAGTATGCGACCCCTGCGTTGAAATGTTGAATTATCGCTTGCTGGGACCTTGCAGACTGCATTACAACAAATAAGTAATAAGTAATAACAATAACAATAACAACAACAATATCCGATACATATGTAAATGTGTAATGCTCCGCACCCGTGCACATATAATAATATACAATATAGTAGGTAGGTACATTGTACAAGTGGACAAAAAACGACGTATGACATAATATTATAATATATTGTTATATTACTGTAGTAGTCTATATGGAATACACCTCGAAGACGACCGTCCGAGATGTTCAAGAGAAATTCTGCATAATGACATGTTATATCATACCATGCAGACATGTTTTCGAGGACGAATCCTCGGGGTCGTCTTCGATCGGTTCGCGTCGCCAGCGGGCCGTGGCGACGAACAGTTTTCGTTATTTATTTTTAATTGTTATTATTTTCGTTCTTCTTGCCGAGATGCGACACCGACGACGGTGACTAGAAAATCCGCAGAAAACCGTGTCCGGTTTCTCTTTCTGAACGCGAGAAAACGGTTTCCGGTTCCATTAATCGTTTTATTTACGGTAGGTACGATTTGCGTGCATTTTGATACCGACAAATGATATCTTGAAGTATAAAATACAATAATCATCGACGCGGTGGTAGATATAAAAGTAAGTAGGAAACCATACCGAGTATACGTATACCGTGGTATACGTTTAATATTGGTACACACTGAAACGCGCGTTGAACCTTGGTCCAAATCCAATCCTATGTGTGCCGTCGTCATTGTGCAAATGTATTCGTCTCGTCATACTCATTGTTGTTTCGTCGACCGAGTCGAACGACTGATAATAATAATAATTATTATTACTCATCGCCGCACGCGACGTTGTCTTCGTTACGTATTATGATTTACAGGTAATTAGCGCACGTGTCCGGCACTCAGCCGAAACCACCGATTTCGATTTTCACGGTCATTATAATGTGTATTATTTTCATTTATTATAATATACGTACGATGTACCTATCGCTGTGGTCGGCGTGTAAAAAAAAATATTTTCGCGCGATATGGTTAGGTAGATAAGTAGCGGTTGTATTTAGTTTTTACCATTTATTCACAAATATAGGTAGGTACTTTGCAGCGGTGCAGTCGATGTTCCGAGGTTTTTTTTTTTTGGTTTCCTATCGTTTTAACGCCCGACGGGTAAACGCATACCTAACGAAACGGAAATCTCAAAAA